ATCTATCGGGGCAGTCCATAACCTCAAAGATAAACTCCAACCCCTGAATCCATTCATCTACGATGCGGGGATCTCCCTGCCCTGAGAACTTCTCAACGTGGTAATCGCGGAACTGAGCGACTACCATAGCTTGAGTAGGAGCCTGATGATCGGGTTCCCTACGTGGCGGCATCTGAACATTGAGGAAACTTTAACATTACTGAATACATGATAACATTCTGACTGATTACTAAGGCACACAAATCTCTTGACGAGTCGCCATAAATGGCCGATGAATACAGATATAAATTCTAAAATCGTCTAGGGTTATATCTGAGTGCACTGAGTTCTATAGTCTGATCCTGATTCGAGCATCTTAACTAAGTTCCGATTAATACTTCTGAGCATAGACAATAGTAATATGTTTATAACTGAAACATAAATCAGCACTTACCTATAGTCGGTGAGGAGTGAACATGACGATTCAGGTTTTTCTGAAATTTCTGACTTATAAAACTTTTCAGAGACGCAGAAACGTGCTCTGATACAGATTGTAACACCCCGCTATTTTAATACTATCAGAGTACGCACTTTTCGCAAATTTTTTTCTGAATAAATTAATCAAATACTCTTTTTGCGAAATCTGGTTCGGAGTGCTACCATGAAAATCTGACATAAGCCGTTAAAATTTTAAACTGAAAATAAAACGGTTATAATATATTAACCGACTAACGTCGGAACAAAAGCTGTTTACAAATACTGAAAGTTTTAGCAGAAAAGTAGCGTGGACAAAACATAGTTAATTTATACATGACAAAACAAATGTCCTGAACAGCTCGTCAGCTCACTCCTCGTCCCCGACCCTGTGACCTGAAAAACATGAAATAAGTGGGAAGTGAGCACTAACACACTGTGCCCCGTGGAAACTCATACTAAAGTAAAACAGTGAAAATAATAACAATATCATGATCCTGGCATATATAACTGAACTGAAACTGATATCTGAAACCGGTCTGAATAATCTGATACTGATCTCGTGACATAAGTCACGTCTGAACTGAACCTGAACATCTGCCGGCAAAGCCGGACACCATGTGCACACTCTAGTGGGCAGACTAGGGCCACTAGAACCCAGAATGGACCGACGATTATTCCGAGTGGATACTGATAATACATACCTCAAACATGGTAGCGTAATTATAATCAATGTAATACCCAGTCTGAGTCCCCACCTGAATAGCTGAAAATGCAGGTAGTGCTGATGCCTGATCAAACTGAAAACATAATATAAACAATTACTAAGGACTATGCTCAGACTGATAATTTAACTGATTAATTACGTTAAGATGCTCTACTCGACTAACATGACATCCGGACTTAATTGGTTTAACTAGAACCAGTTAAGTATGGAACTGAACTGAACTGATATTATTTTACTAGACTGAATGACACCCGGGATTTTAACTAAAACTGGTACTGAAATTAAGAACCGAGGCTGAAACCTTAAAATATGGATTAAACCGTAAAATTTGGGACTGGACCGGTCCAGCCGGTCTGAACCGGTCTGAACCAGACGGTCGGTCCGCTGAACCGGACTGTGGGTTGCGGGCTTGGCCAGCGGCCTGCCGGGGCTGCGCACGCTAGCGCTGTC